GAAAAAATGACAAAATAAATAAAAAAGGTCTCGCTGGGGTTCGAATCCAGGACCTTATACATAAATGTCTTACGCGCGCGCTGTTTGTACCACTGGGGTGGTCTGTTTCATCCGTTAGTTATCCAACTTGCACTAAATATAAAATAAACTCATTTATGAAAATTTGAACATGGCTTCATCTTCTTCCTTCGCGCGCAGGCCATGATAACTCCATTGTCAAGCTTCTAAAAGTTTCATTTCTCAGCCAAATCGAAAGATATAACTATCAAACCTGCCTAAAATTTGAATATGAATCTAACCACATAATTTTCAAAAGTTATGGGTCGAAGGTTGGCATGAATTTTGTTCACTACTAAAACTAAAACCTAACTGATCAGAGAAGAAATTCTCAATTTACAAGCAAAGATAATCAAAAATATGGACATGGTCAGCTTCCTAGACATGATATCTACACCTTTTCTTCATAATGTTTATACAAATGATGCTTGAATGAAGAGTTCCAAGTTTGAAAAACTTACCTCTTGGAGTGAAATTCGAAGGACTTCTACACGAATTCCAGAAGTGGTTTGATGATGGATTAAGCTTGCCTGGACCTCCCTGAAGTTATCCCAATTGTTAGAATGTCTTGTAGCTTGCCCAACTGTTCTGGATAAGTCAAATTGCAAAGGTGGATTTTTTTGAAAATGGTGGATGAGGAAGAAGGAATTACAGAGGTGTTTTAAGGGATGGAATAGTTCCTATGTGGTGTATAGATGATGTTTGAATGGAAAAATGGAAAATGCATGAAGGATTTTGGAGTTGGCTCTCAAAGTCAGAAATGGCAAGCAATGTGGCTTTAGATGCAGATTCTGAGTTCAAGGAGTTTTGAGAGTGTTCTAAGGCTGGTAATCTCTCTCTTTTATGTTGCAAATAATGTCTCTATTTATAGGGAAGAGGTTTGACATCTTGTAGTAACCAGAATCTGGAGATAACATGTTATGGTTTAGTTGAAAATGAAAAAATCAAGTTGAATGGATTTTCATGGTTCCAAAGTTCAAGTACAAGCATGGCCTGATATTTGTTGGATATAATGCTTTTGATATTGCTTGCAATTAGAGATAAAGGTTACAAGGCTCAATGCATTGACAATTTGCATAAAGCTTGCTTTTCTAAAATGGCAATGGTAACTTTATGCCATTAAGGGAAAATTGGCTTGGACAATACTTTAAACACTTGGGTAAGAGTTTAATTAATTGTGTAAACAATTAATTATGGAGTGAAACACACGTTTGAGGCCTGCAAAGCAAGATCATGTAGCATGGCCTATGGATTTGATCAATGTTTTTTTTCAAAATTCTTTCTTCAACTTGATTCCTTGAATCGAATACTCCGTCCTTTCATTTTGATCACATAGATCCACAACTTTCAACCAAACTCATCAACAGACAAAACAATATTTGTTTCCAACAATTTATTTTCTTCGAATGGACCATATTCATCTGAATGTACCACTTACTTCGTCCTTTCCTTTTGATCACATAAATTCACAACTTTCGACCAAACTCATCAACAGACAAAATAATATTTGTTTCCACCAATTGTATGTTCTTCTAATGGACCATATCCATCTGAATGTACCAATTTGAGTATGCAAGATGATCTCATTGCCATAGTCGAAACGAAAGAATTTCTAGATTGCTTTCCTATTAAACAAACTTCACAACATTTTTTAGGGTGTCTCAAGACTTGGAAAACCATATCTTGAGTAATCTGTTGATTAAGTGGTCGAAAGTTCAAATGTCCAAACTTCAAATGCCACAACCAACTATCCTTGTGGTCGAACAGTTTTCAAACATTGAACTTTTGTCGAATTGATCATTGTCTTAAATGTCCTGTTTTTCGACAACGGAGATTTTAAGACTAAATTATTCTTGGTATCGAACAATCCAAAACTCCATCTTTCATGACAACTGAGAAACTCTTTTTGACTAGTTGTCCAACACTTAGCAAGTTTCACTTTATTCCAGGTACATAGAGCACATCTTTAATCATAATTTTTCCTCCATTACTCAATTGAAAGACTATGTTGCCAGTACCTTCTTCTTGCAATGAACTATTATCAGTAAAAAAAATGTTAAATTGTAATTCATAGTGTCAAAACTATGTGTGTCAAAGGGTTTAGAGGTGGATCGAAGCAGGTTACTCGAAGGAAGTCATTGCTCAGTCGAAGCTTGTGGATTGAAGCAAGCTTGTTCGAAGGAAGCCATTGTCCAGTCGAAGCTTGTGGATCAAAGCAGGTTGCTCAAAGGAAGTCATTTCCCAGTCGAAGCTTGGGAATCGAAGCAATCTTGCTCTTCTTCGGTTTGTCAAAATCTGCCAACCACTCCTTTCGATCAGTCATGTGGTTCGAGCAGCTTGAACCAGATTTTGAATTCGACATGGTTATCTACAACTGCGCACCTTTCAATCTGCTTTGCCCTTTCGACCGTTTCCTCTTCCTCCTTTCTTCGACCTGATGCTTGAGAGCCCAATATGATCTATGGAAACTATGTGGGGCATTAAAAGTTCAATTGCACTTGTGCAAACTCAAACCCTAGTTTTGAGTAATCAGTGTTTGAGGAGGTATCTTGAGCTGATCAAACCTTGTGCAGTCTTGAATCAATGGAGATCTTGTGAGAGAATTCTTGAGAAATTGAGAGGGAAAATTTTGGGGTACAACAACTTCAAACCACTGATATGTAAAATTTTGGACACTCTAATCACGCTCCAAACGTTGGGCATAACATGAGAAGTAGCAATGTTCCCAATCGCTAGAAACGTAGCTTCAAACTACATAAAGGGTATTAAAACCTCTAAATCGTAAATAACAAAGAGGTGAAAGTAGAAGTAGGGGTAGGCGAACCATCCAGTGTGGCCATATTGGTCTTGTCCTCTTCGTAACACAGTTCTAAAATCACATCATTTTCGTGTTTAGTATTGGAAAGTCTGATTTTTTTCCGAAAAGCAACTATCATCTCCTCATTAGAGAATCGCAAAGTCTTCGACGTTGAAACATTTAGAATTCATCTTTGCCATTGATTCTTGATAAAAATAGGAACAATAAGAGAAACATTATCAAAACTATCAAGGCTCTCCTGGCTCCAAAGATCTAATACACGGCATTGGTGTGTAACCACTCCTTAAACATTCTTAAATCTCAACAATTATCATTAAGGATAGAGAACAAAAGGATAATAGAATAATGCATGCAAACACAATCAAAAATTTGTGAAATGAGTGCACTCTGCGTTGCTAGGAACTCTTTAAAAATGGATGAAAGTTTGGAAGAAGAGAATGTGAAAAGAGTTAAATGATGGAAGGCTAAAATCCTTTTATGGGGAAGAAGTCCAGTCGTATAGGTAATTTACAGTCTCCCACTGAGCATCTCAACAGTTTAAAGAAAAGAAAAGATTCTTCACGCCAGAGATACGCGTAATGAATTAAAACCAAATTGGCTTCTCGAAAAAAAATCATCATCAGTCGTATTTAATGCAACATGTGTTTTTCACCTCAAATGACGTTTGGGAATTTCCCACAGTTGACGTTTGAGGATTCATCTCTTTGACACCTGAGAATGTATCCAAGGCCATGCTTGAGGAACTCTCCCCATGCTCGAGGGACTTATCCCATATAAGAAAGAGAAGACAAAGCAAATCACTTCACCCTTTTCAAGCCCTCGTGCTTGATGGAATGTGTAATGATATATTTGCAAAGGACCCATAAGAGACGGCGCGGAAGGTCTCTAAGTGAAGGCGACGTAACATATCGCCTATGTCTGTCTTTGGCCGTCTGTTTACTGGAGTGGTGCCCGTTTCTTGGTTTTGTCGTTGGTTTTCTTTATTACACACGTGTTCGGAAACATGTGAAGTGATGTGTTTCAATCCACAATGATACAGAGGAAGTTAAAAGGGGAGATCTCATCCTCATGAATATTAAGGGAGTTGAATGTCCACTCCCTGCTCATAGAAATGGTTGCTACTTCCATGGAGCCCGAGGTCCAACCCCAAAGACTTTCATAAATACATCAACCTTAAAGTTGTTAGAGGTTCCAATTCATTACGCAAAATATCACATACAGAGATTCTCACCTTTCCGCACGAGTTAACTCTAACCTTACGACAAATCCTGAAAACCCCTGACTTCCCTTAATCACTAGGGATTATCATATTATATTATTATACTTTTGGCAAGTAGAAATACTTTTTAATTGTTATATACTTTTATGGGAAAATTATATTTTTACGATGGTCGTTGAATTCGCTTTGGGAAGAATTATTAGACTCCACAATATAGTGTCTTGGAAGAGCATCACTCAATTAGATTCCACGACATAGTGCCTTGGAAGAGCATCACTCAACCTCTATTCCTATTGATGGAAATTGAGTATTTTGTTTCTAACTACGCAATGGGATATGGGATGAAATTGAAATACGTTGATCGCTCGTGTCCTCGATTCTATATGCACCTTGATTACAAAGTTGAAGGCACCTATTGTTATAATGCTATTGAAAATCTGTACACTGATACTTTATTTGATCCAATTTGGTATTAGAAAGGTTCGGCTTGAAGTCGTGCAATTATTTCGAAACTTGCCCATAGATCATTGAAGAAAAATGCAATCAGAATACACCGCCAAATGCCAACCGATGATACATGCTCCATATATCAAAGTAATTTAAAAAACATCATGCATTGAGGACAAAGTATTATAATCAATTTATCACGGGAATAAATTTGGGTCAAGTTTTCAAGTTTTCTGGAGTGGAACGCCCACAACTAAACATTTCGGAGCTAGCAACAAACATTAGAAAACTTTTTTCTGTGTCTCTATTTGGTCACTTTGGAAGGATCAAAATAGTTTGGTCCTTTTCTTCATCATTTGCATTGGTCTTAAAAAATATGACAGCAGGAAATTCTGCAAGAATTTGAAATTGAAGAATCTATATTCTAAATCATAGTTTTTTACAATCCACTGGAAGAAACTAATCCTCATCACTTCCATAGTTTTGGCACAAAGATAGCAGTCCAGTAGTAGAATTAGTTTTAACGTCTTCCTCTTTTTCCTTTTCTTTCGGTTCTGCAGGGCCTTTAACATTAGAGGTCCCTGGTTTCTTAACAACAGAAATTGACACCAACGGATTAGGCTTTCCTCGACTGCTACTCTTTTTTTCTGCATAAACAAATAGGATACTGTGTTAGAAAAATAATGTGTACCGGGTTGACGGTATCATAAAAATTCCATCAAACAAAAATAAAATAGACCATAGCAGTACACGTGAATCAAAATGAAACAATGCATATGTGGATGGTTGGCAAATGTACCCCAACCCCTCTTTTCTGCAAATCACTCGAGTATCAAAAAAATGACTCAACTACTAGGCAAACTAAGAACATCACTTTTGTCTAACTAGCATCAATATAATTTTAATCGGTCACGGTGTGAACAAGAGGAACAAATTATAAAGAGAACTCATTTTCATTAATTGAAATTGGGAAGTAATAAGTGTTACAAATACAATGGTAATTAGGAGTTTACATACTCTACTAAACTACAAAGCTAATCTACTAGTAAATAACTAATTATCACATAGTAAAAATAACTATACACAACTAACTATAGTAAAGTTGATAGCTCCCCTCAAGTTGGATGGTAGATAGAACACAATCCTAACTTGGATGCCATAGATGAGAAAGCAGGAGAATGAAGTGGTTTAGTAAACACATCTGCTAGCTGTGATTTTGAAGGTACAGAAAGAAGATGAATTAACTTGGACTGCAACTTTTCCCGAATAATGTGACAATCCAACTCGATGTGCTTGCTACGCTCATGAAAGGTTGGATTGTGAGCAAGATAAATGGCCGACTTGTTGTCACGATAAACCGATGCTGATTGCGAGAAAGATACTTGAAAATCAGTAAATAAGTATTGAAGTCATTGTAACTCACATGTTAACGATGCCAAAGCGCGGTATTCTGCATCAGTGGAAGAGCGAGAAACCGTATTCTGCTTCTTCAATTTCCAAGATATTAACGAGGCGCCAAGCAAGACACAGTAGCCAGTAACAGACCGGCGGGTATTGGGACAACAAGCCCAATCAGAATCTGCAAACCCATGTAGTTGCAAAGGACTCTGACTGGAAAAGAAAATGCCTTTAGTTGGACATGATTTCAAATAACGCAGGATGCGAGTAGCAGCAGTATAATGAGGTACTAAGGGTTGCGAAACGTATTGACTGAGATGTTGAACAGCAAAGGAGATACCAGGCCTTGTATGAGTCAAGTAAATGAGTCTGCCAATGAGGCGTCGATAAGAAGAGGGGTCCCCAAAGGGATCACCATCAGTGGCTGACAACTTAGTGTGAGGGTCAACTGGTACAGGAACAGGCTTGGCACCAAGGAACCCAGTGTCTTCAAGAAGCTCAAGGACGTATTTCCGTTGATTTAGAAAAATACCAGAAGATGAACGAGCAATTTCTAAGCCAAGAAAAAACCTGAGTTGGCCAAGATCTTTGATCTTGAACTGATGATCAAGAGACTGTTTTACAAGCTTAATTTCCTCAAGAGACTTAGACTCTTCAGTTTTGTAACCGATATTAAATTATTAGGAGAGTTAGTGATTAATTATTAGAATTATTATATAATTAATTAAGAGTGTTTAGGTTTAGAATAAATAGGGGAAGATATTAGAGAGATGATCATCTTGGAATTGGATAGGAAAAAGGGCCATTTTGGCATTTGGGAGGTGCAGACCCTCGAAGTTCTGCAATATCATTCTGTTTTAAAAGGGAGTTTCCCTATATCTTATTCTATATCAGTTGGTTTCTATCAACTGGTATCAGAGCAGTTCTGATCCAAAAGTGATTTTGTCAGTGTGCTGGAAATTTTGGCATGAATATGGCTGCAGATTTGATTCCAAGATTTGATGGAAGGGAGGCCTATTGGTGGCTGATCCAAGCTGAGCAATATTTTGGGTCAAGAAGAATGAGTGAAGAGATGAAGCTTGAGTGGGCTGTGGCATTTGCATTGAGAGGAGATGCCCTCGATTGGTGGATTTCTTGGAAGGAGAGTCATCCAAATACTTGTTGGTGGAATTTTGCAAAGGCCATTCTCAAGAAATTCCAACTAGAAGTTTGGGTTTGTCTACTGGAGTCTGAAAATGAAACATAGGAAATCCAAGGCAGCGGTGAAATTCAAGAACCAATAGCATCTCCGACCGAAGAAATGATTGGTGGTAAAGTTGAAGGCTCACAAATTTCCTCAAGAGATGTACCTGCCAAAACGATGTCGTCAATATAAACAAGCAAAGCTGTAAAGGAAGAACCATGAGACTTTACATAGAGGGAATGGTCAGCTTGAGAAGGCTTATATCCCATAGACACAAGGGCAGTGGATAGTTTGAAGTACCATTGGCGACTAGCCTGTTTTAAACCATATAGTGACTTGTTCAATTTGCAAACCTGCGAAGAACTTGTAGCATAACCAGGAGGAAGATTCATGAAGAAATGCGTTATTTACATCCAATTGTTCTACAAACCATCCTTTGACAGCAGAAGGGCTAATAGAACACCACAGTTGTCATCTTAGCCACTGGTGAGAATGTGTCAAAGTAATCCGCCCCTTCCATTTGCGTATAGCCTTTGGCCACAAGGCGAGCTTTGTACCTCTCTATGGATCCATTGGCATGATATTTGATCTTGTACACCCATTTGCAACCTATTGGAGTCTTGCCACAAGGAAGATCCACCACAGTCCATGTATTGTTTACCTCTAGAGCTGTAATCTCAGCATTCATTGCCTCATTCCAACAGACAAACTTGGAAGCTTGGTTATATGTTTTTGGCTCAATGTTAGAAGAAATAGAGCAGCAAAACAATTTATAAGCAGGAGAACAATGATTATAAGTCAAAACAGAAGATATAGGATAAGCAATAGAACTGAAATTTTTATCAGTACAGCTAGATATAGCATTGCAGTGGTAGTCCTACAAGTAGCTTGGAGGCTTTCTGATACGATTAGAGACCCTAAGAGGAATAGAAGGACTAGCATTTGTGCAATCATGGACAGGAATAGAGGATGTACTGGTATCAGAACTATCATCAATACTAGCATGAGCTGGAATAGAGGATGTACTGGCATCAGTACTATCATTAGGACTAGCAAGAGCTGGATTAGCAGGATTGGCTGCAGTTAAAGGTGACTGGACATGTGTATAAGGGACAGGTGAGGGGTCTGCTATAGTAGCAGGAGCATAGGTGAGAGGAATAGAATGTTGGTCCATATGGTTAATGTCTGCAGAATTTTGGGCTGCAACATCAGATAAAGGACCATTGGACAAAGGAGAGATGTCATCTAAGTCCATAGAGCCAGCAGGTATAGGGAGTTGCTGGGACTGTTGGGAAGAAAACTGACTGGACAGAGATTGGAAGGGAAAAACATCCTCATAGAAAATGACTGCCTGAAAGAAAAATGTCATGAGAAATGAGATCATAAAGAGTATAACCCTGGGTTCCATCTTTGTAGCCAATAAAGACACATTTTCTTGCTCTGAGGTCAAATTTAGACCTGTGAGCTTGAATGGTTGTTGCATAAGCTAAACAACCAAAAACTTTGAGGTGAAGAAGAGTAGGGGGTGATTTGTATAGCAATTCATAAGGTGATTTAGATTTAAGCAGGGGGCTAGGAAGTCTGTTTATGATGTTTGGACAGTATGTTGAATGCAAAAGCTCCATAAGGAGAGAGGAATATGAGCATGAAAATATAAGGATTGCTACATTTAAAATATGTTGATGTTTACGTTCAACTATGTCGTTTTGTTGTGGGGTTTCAATGCAGGATCTTTGGTGAATTATACCTTTTGAGCTAAAAAAATCAGTTACGGTGACAAACTCAGTCCCATTGTCGGATCTGGGGCATTTCAGAGAAGTATTGAATTGGTTTTCTAAATAAGCCACAAAATTAATGATGTAGGTTTTGGTTTCACTTTTATGTTTAAGAAGAATTGCCCATGTGAACCTAGAATAATCATCCACAAGGGTGAGAAAGTACCTATGTCCAGAAATAGAAGTTGTGGCAAAGGGCCCCCACACATCAGCATGCAATATTTGAAAAGGAAAAATAGAATTGGTGATGCTATTAGGGAAAGGTAACTTCTTTTGCTTAGAAAAATGACAACTATCACAAGGTGTCATATTGTTTTTACAAGGTATGTAAGGAAACTGCTTAGAGATAATTTGCATTCCAAAGTTAGAAATGTGACCTAATCTGGAATGTCATTTCTCAAAAGAATCAGAGGAAACGGAATTGCAAGAAGAAAAAATAGTATAAGTATCTATGACATACAATCCTCTTTGAAGCTTAGCTGTACCAATCGTTTCCAATGAATGATTCTGCAAGATTTGACAAGAGTTAGTGTTGAAACTCAAATGACACTTATTTGTGCTTGCTAACTTTGTGACAGAAATTAGGTTCACTTGAAAGTAAGGGATGTAGAGGACTTGGTGAATTGTGATAGATGGGGATATAACCACACTACCCGAGATAGAAGCCAAAACTTGTGAGCCATTTGGTAAAGACACAAAAACAGGAACAATATTTTGATATGTAGTAAAAACTGAAATATCAAAAGTGATGTGATCAGTAGCACCGGTGTCTAATATCCAAAGATTGGAAGACTTACCAGGTTGAAAAGAAGTAGGAGAATGCATGGCAAAAGGAGCAGTGGTTATAGCATTAACTGTGGGTTGGGAACCAAGTTTGGACTGCTGAAGAGCTTCAAGAATGCCTTGATACATTTCTTGGGTAAACTGAAACGTGGACTGTGCAAATGATCCTTGTGAAGCAGATTCCAAACCAGTAGCATTTGAGGTATTGTTGGCTTGAGATGAGGAAGACTTTTGCTTGTGTGTCTTGTACCAAGGAGGATAGCCAATCCTTTCAAAGCAGTTATCAACAATGTGATTGTTCTTGCCACAGTGAGTACATGTGCGATTTCCCCCTTTGAAGGAACCTGGTCCCTTTCCCTTATAGTAACTCCCTTTGTTACTGGAATTGTTGTGATTAGAGCTAACTTGCATAGCTACGACAGAGCCAGATGCAACTTTTGGAGCAGAAGTTTGGTTGGAGCTGATCAATTCTCGTTCTTGTTGCAAAACCAATGAAAAAGCATGTTCAATATCAGGGAGAGGGTTCATCATCATGATTTGAGATTTGGAGTGCAAGAAACGTTCATTCAAGCCTTTGAGGAATCGAATAACAAAGTCTTGTTCACGATAGGCTCTAACAGATTCAATTACACCACAAGAACAAGAAATTGAGCACTTACAGTAAGGGAGAGGACGATAGTTCTCCAATTCGTCCCAATAGACCTTCAACTGAGTGAAGTAATCTGAAACATCAAGAGTTCCTTGACGAAATCGATACAGATCCTCTTGCAGATCGAAAATGCGGAAAATATCACTCTGAGAGAAACGAACGCGCAAGTTCTTCCAAACACCTGCAGCAGTATCAATCCAAAATACAGAACGAGCAATGGATTCAGAAAGGGAACGGTGAAGCCACGCCAATACCATCGTGTTACAGCGAATCCATGACGCGTACATCTAATCAGATACGGGAGGCTTTGGAAGCGAACCATCAACAAACTTCTCTTTGTTCTTCGAAATCAGCGCGATATGCATCGAACAGGACCAAGTATGATAGTTCTTGGCGTGAGCGGCGGCGAAACAAGAGTAATTGTCGGATTCTCGTTCGGATGCAAGTAGTAAGGATTGGCAGAGTTGGTGGAGAAATCGATGTAGTTCTGGAGCACCATTGATGCACTTTCAAGGAGAAAGAGAAAGGGGATGGATCAAGAAGGAAGAGGAAGAAGCAAGATCCAGCTGGAAAAAAACAGTTACGGTGGCTACCAGAACTCAGATGAGCTCTGATACCATGTGAACAAGAGGAACAAATTGTAAAGAGAACTCATTTTCATTAATTGAAATTGGGAAGTAATAAGTGTTACAAATACAGTGGTAATTAGGAGCTTATATACTCTACTAAACTACAAAGCTAATCTACCAGTAAATAACTAATTACCACATAGTAAAAATAACTATACACAACTAACTATAATAAAGTTGATACACGGATTGCAGGAAATAGAGATTAGTTTGAATCTTACTATGCTACAATGCTATAGTGCGCCACTAGAGTTGCTACTTAACAACACTTGGTACTAAATAGTGTATCGAAGAACAATAGCAATTTGTTGAAATTTCACTACACTAAGCACTATAGCCTATATTTGACAACACCATATCAATAACAAGTCAAACAGATGATTTGGATTGATTTCTTTGACTAATACTGCATTTTATGCATGAGACTCCTCATGTAAGATATTGAAGCAGAACAATAAATATGGTACTGCTGTCTCTTATCGGTGTTACTTCATTTACAATATAAATGTACTAGTAGTCACTTAATAGTGATAATGTGACAATATTCCCTGTGCATAAAGCAATATCGAAATTTGATGCATCTAATTGATTTGCCTGAAAACATACCTTCTTTCTCAGAGTCATCCAAACTGGCTTTTGTCAAAACGTCAGTTGCTTTTCCTGGAAGATCTTCTGATATTTTTAGCCTCTGCATACAGATACAAAAAACAAAGATGAAACAGTTATTATATGATAAATATAGACATCCATTAAATATAAATGATTTTACGAAGGCCAAAAACACATTTCACATGATCATGTTGTGTTTGATTCCGGAAAATAACAAGATGTTTAATAAGTCCATCTTTATTATCTAGCACTAAGAAAAGATTTTTAAAAAGAGAGCTTTACAGAACCCAACACGAAAATTATACTAAAGCATGTAATTTAAAAAGTTCTGAACTTCCAGGATAATATATTGAAAACGTATCAACTTAGTTCAAAGAGCAGTTACAAACTGAAGATTTAAGTTCCTGGATTTCAACAGTTGAGGGTGGGATAAAAATGATTCGAAGCGAGGTTATGAATAACGATGCCGCTATGATTTATCAGCCAAAAAAGATATTAAAGAAAATCTATTACTACTTATCTTGGTACCTTAGGATTATGAATGGATGTTTCACAATGTCCACTTGAGAGCTGAAACAATTCCTCCTCAGTTTCAAAATCTTCATCGCGAATTCTGCTGATCGAAACTTCTGAACTCTGTTTAAGACAGCACGAAGAAAACTACATAGATTAATTTCAATAAGAACAAAATAAACAGGCATTGAAAGTAATTAAAGTAAGAAGGAAAACTGGGAGTATAGGATAGAAATACTCACATTAGAGAAAATTGACTTTATAAGGGCTTCATCTTCTTCTTCAATTCTTTTCTCCTAAGAACAAAAAACAAGGCTTTAGTCAACTCATCTGGGGCAGGGGGGACTAAAAAGTAAGAACTAAAGAGTAAGAACTCATCTGGGGCAGGGGGTACTAAAAAGTAAGAACTAAAGAAAGCACATACAATTACGCGCTGAAATTAAGGCATAGCCTGAATCTCGAAACAATTAGAATAACAGTTTTTATGCGGGCTGTTTTATGATGCTAAGGTTCAGGGTTATCCACTAAATGGCATAAACTAGAGTTTGTTGCCTAAGTTCCCATTAAGGGTCAGTTTTCTGTACTAGAAGCTGAAAGGACCCACACAGAAGTTAGTTAACATATAATAGTTACAGAAGTGGATCAGTTGGACAGTTAAAATCTGTTTAGTGTGGGGAATTTAAATAGTAGAACTTTAGGAGAGGGAAGAAATGAAGTATTCAGATTTACTAATATTGAAAACAGAGCTGTGATAGGCAAAACCCTTGTTGAAGTGGATCAGTTGGTTAACGTATAATAGGACAGAAGTGGATCAGTTGGACAGTTGAAATCTGTTTAGTGTGGGGAATTTAAAAAGTAGAACTTTAGGAGAGAGAAGAAGTGGGGTATTCAGATTTACTAATATTGAAAACAGAGTTGTGATAGGGAAAACACTTGTTGAAAGGAGAGTTTCCAAACTTCTCTCTATTAGTGATTCAGGGAGGAATTTCCTTGTTTTCTCCCTATTAGTGATTCAGACTTTAAAAGTTTACATCGCAATGCAAGATTATAATAAATGTTAAAAGAAAGTCTCCTTCATGTACCCTGTACATATTTACATTTAGGCGTATCAAGTGAGTAGGTCAGAGGAGATAATATTGATCGTTTGTTATGTCAATATTGAGTCTAGTTTCAGCGTGTTTGAATGTACATCATAGCTACCAGTGCCAGCCATTTAAATGTCAAACAGATTTTAAGAGTTTCTCAAACAAGAAATTTCTCACACAAAACAAATAATATTATATAGCGAGCTTATCAATACCTTGTCGGCTGCTGTCCGTTGCAAGGCTGCAAGCATTTCATCAACACTAACAGTTGCATGCCTGGACTGGAAAACAAAAGAGATTCTGGTCAGCAATTAGTACAATGGATAACCTTCAGATTAATGAACAAATGTAATGTTTTATAAGAACAACTGATCTCAAAATAAAAATTTCATATTTTGTAGGCAACATGCTCAATATTTTAAAACTTAAATATCCATATCCATATAGAATCATTAAAGCACATAGAAGCATCAAATCAAACAACGTTGCGAAATGCATCGATGTTATAGTAGTAACTATACCTTCATTGACTTCATCTCATCCAGTGCAGCAAGGATGTCCATCTCTCTTTTAGAATCCAGCGTTCGATTCTCTAAGGACTTCATAGCATCTCCCATTTCTTCAGCTTCCCTTTTCTTTTTCACTTCATCAGTTTCCACATCCTCTGCCCGCCAAGGTTCAAAATTTCGGGTTGCACCAGACTCAACAATATAGTCTGAATTCTGCGGATCAGTCTTCATTGTAAGTTCTGCCGAGCACCGAGTGCATTTGAAATAGAATCTGAATATTTGGATTCCTAGATATGTCTGCACAAAAAAATATCAAATAAAATATATTCAAAGTCAATTATCATAAACAAAACCAACTCACTCAAAGAAAGAAGTCATTCATAAAATCATACTCCATCCTTATGCCCACTTCTTAAGAAAATAATTGAATATACATAGCAAAGCAAACAAATATTTCAAACGTTGTGACACAAGATGTATGTTTGGTTTCACAGTAGGGAGAGCTAACAGTGATTCCAAACACATAAAATTAATTTTGAGATCTTTGAATGATGTTGATTTAATTTTGATGCAAAATGTGACTTTTAGACTCAAAATTATCGTTCAACTTACTTTAACCTGAATGTATTCAAACATAAACCACTTCAAATCCATTGTTCAACTTACTTTCACTTGAAATTATCCAACCATAAATCACTTCACATTCAACTCACTTAAAATCAAGTTTTATCATTGCAAAACCAACAACATGCTTGGAATCAATATAAAAAAGACACATTTTAGCATGCTTCTCTAAAATCAACATCAAAGGACACTAAAATACAGATACAAATAGCAGAACCGCTATTGCGCCGCCACGACTCCACAAATAGCAGCCGTTATTTCAGCTATCACGGGTAGCAGTTAGCAGCCCAAAAGCGTGGAGTCGAGGGCTAGTACTGCTAACCTATGCCGCTATAGCGCTCTATGACAACCTAGCGTTCAACTTACTTTCATGTGAATATATTCAAACATAACCACTTCAAATTCATTGTTCAACTTACTGTCAAATGAAATTATTCAAACATAAATCACTTCACCTTCATCTCACTTTTAACTAAAACCAATTTTTATCATTGCAAAACCAAAAACATGCTTGGAATCAATATAAAAAACACACATTTTAGCATGCTTCCATTAATCAACATCAAATGACACTGAAATACAGATACTATTACTAAACATAAACAATCCAAAATTGAACAAGTTAAAAATATTCCGAGATAATAATCATACCTCGCCGATAACATCTTCTTTTCGTGAATTAAACTTTGTCCCTTTATAAATGTAATTGCCACAGGTGTTGCATCGAATGCTCATCGGAAGCATCATACGAACTTTAATTTGTAAATTTTTGGGTCTTCTAACTCTAGGAAGCTTGGCCGGATCGAAATCCGGCGGATAATACTTGTTCAAAACCTTCCTCTCACCCATTTCTCCTTAACCTGAGGTTATTCAAATTACTTCACAAATCAAAAAACCACGAATCAGAATCACAAACAAATAGTACTGTGTGAAATTTGATTACTATTTATCTATAAAACGCACGGTTCAAAAACCCTAATTAACACAAATAAATAGCTGATTAGAAAATCTCACTATCGTTTGCCCTGAGAAAAACTTGATAAATAGCAAAGAGGGAGAACAAGAGGAAGAAGGATTCGAACCGAAGCGTAAATCGGCGTTGACAGTGACAGATTGCGGTGGCGCGTGACAGTGGGAATGATTGCGGTGGCGCGTGGATTGAAAAGGGAACGTTTGAACCAAATCGAGAGCAAAAAGCTCGGTATATAGAGAGAGTGTTTTGTATTTTAAATTATATTAGGTTTCAACCAAATAAATAGATATTTTTGAACTATAGTAGATTTGATTTAGAATTCAAATTTAAATTCAAATTTTATTGGTATTAAAATTTAAGATTATAAATAAATCATGTTATAAAAAAATACTATACCATGTAATATTTTTTAAATAAATAATTTATTTATTCAAATTACCTCTAAGATTTATTTTTAAAATATAAAAATATAAAAATAAATAAATATTTATCATATCAAAAAAATTCAAATATTAAATTCATATATTTAATTTTAGAAAATATGACTTATAATATCTATAATCATATGTTACTGCATCATATATTATTAAAAGAGAAAAAGAGAAATGGAAAAAAAAAACAATATCGTCTAATTATATAAGAGTTCATTTATATTCGTTTCATTTCACATTTGAATGATTTATTTTCTTATAAAACACAATAAAAAAATTCTATCAATTTAAATAAATTAATCACAAATTAATAACATTCAATTATTAAATAAGTATTTATTATGGTAATAATGTGTTATAAAATTAAGTAAAATAATAGAAGAGAAAAAACAGAAAAATAGAGTGTATTGTATTATTCACATTTAAGTGTTTGTTTTTATTTATAAAACATATTTAATAAATGAAAAACCAATATAGAATTTATTTATTTATGAATATCCATTATCATGTCATTTATAACATATTCAATAAATTATTCATAATAAACGTTTTAAATATAATAATATTATTTTTTATAAAATCAATTATTTTTAATAATTCTACAAGTATAATTAATTAACAATATACAAATTATTCACATTGATAATGGATCAAGGATGTGAATTAAATTATAATATTTATCTTAAATAAATTAAAAAGATATATTAATAAAAGTTGAGAAGGATATACACAGACACTATCAATCAATCACAATCATGTTAAAAATTATTTTTGTTATAAATAATTGGATGATTTGTCTCACAATAACTTCATTCTTTATTTAATCAATTTGTATTATCTATATGATTTGATATAAATAGAATCAATTTCATTATATACAATTACACCAATGAAATGATACATACCCGAGGAAAAAGCCGGTTATATGATGATGCGAAAAATAATTGAAAATTCATGCGGTCATGAATTAATGAGTCGGGAAATTTTCAATCAAATAAGTTCTCATGCAACTCTTGTTGGCAAGGGAAGTTGATAATTCGGCCATCATCAACAAAAATTGGAAATGAATCTTTCATTTTTTTAGAGCGTATACATAATGATATTTGTGGGCCAATACACTCATCATGTGACCATTTAAAAACTTTATGGTTTTAGTTGATGCATCAACTAGATGGTCACATGTTTGTTTATTGTCAACTCACAACCAAGCGTTTACAAGATTGTTAGCTCAACTAATTTGAATAAGAGTTCAATTCTCTGAATATCCTGTCAAGAAAATATGTCTTGATAATGCTGCCAAATTTTCATCTCAAGTATTTAATGAATATCGTATGTCTATTAGAATTGACATTGAACATACAGTAGCACATACTCATACACAAAATGAACTTGCAAATTCATTTATCAAACGTATAAAACTAATTGCAAGACCGCTTATTATGAGATGGAAACTCATAGTTTCTAGTTAGGGACATGCAATTTTGCATGTTGCAGCATTGATTCGCATCAGACCATCAAGTTATCACACATTTTCCCCTTTATAATTAATTTTTGGTAAAGAACCTAATATTTCCCGTCTAATAATTTTTGTATGTGCGGTGTATGTGTCAATTTCTCTACCACGACGCATTAACATGGGTCCTTAAAGGAGGATGGGAATATATGTTGGATATGAATCTCCATTTATTATAAAATACCTTAAACCAACAACAAGAGATTTATTCACTGCTCATTTTGTTGATTGTCATTTTGATAAAACAAAATTTCCAGCATTAGGGGAAGAGAATAAGAAGCTGGAAAAAGAGATCAGTTAGAATGAATTACCAAATGCATTCACTGATCCAAAAGGTGTGACTAAATCATATATATATCAGCTGCAAATGCTCCAATAAAAATGGATATCCCTATTGGACAATCCAATGAGTCTCAATCATGTCTGATGTAATACCCAAATTCTACCCCAAGCAATTAGCGGAAAATTAGAGTATAAAAATTTCCAATATAATCAGGATGTCACATATTCAACAAAGACACATAAATTTGTCATGCTTTTATAATAGATGTATAACACTTAAAGAAGCGGAATGAATATAACTCGTGAATATAGTCTTCATAACATAAACCAAACTTTGATTAATCACGCAGCGGATTCATAATAGTTCTCTAAATAAGATATAACATCTTTTGAATCATAAAACAACATCAATACAATAAACTCCTCAAATAACAACATAAGGTTCAATAAATAAACAAAAAAAATAAGACAAGCGTTCATTTTCCCCTGAGTGATGCGTATCAGAGCAAATGACACCGAACTCGAACTAACAATATTATCAACTACTCATCTTGGTTACCTGCACGTTACCAACAAAGGGCAACATTTAAACAGAAAGGGTGAGATATCAAACTATACAAATAGGATTATGTTGTACCCCAAAATTTTCCCTCTCATTTCATCAACTTTTTCTCACCACAAGACCCTTGGAGTTCAAGATCAAGTTAGGGTTTAATCTGCTCAAGGCCCCTCCTTGCACTGTTGACCCAAATTAGGGTTTAAGTTTGCACAAAGATGTTTTGACCTAAAATGCCCAAAATTACTTTCATGCTTCATGTTGGACTCACAAGTTTATCCATACCAAGTTTCAAGCCTTGATTCCAATCTTTACCCAGTCAATTGGACAATTAACCTAGAAATCAGCTGTATTGGAGAAAAATTCAACTGTGGTCAATTGACAGTCAAACCTCATGATTTTGACCCACATCAACATTATGAACTCATATGGACAATTTGATCAAGTTTGGATCACAATTCCACAAGAAATTTGATCAGATCACCAAAAGGGAAAAATGGTCATTTTTAGGGTTTTGATTGCACAAAGGCAATTTTTGATTGTTTGACCTGGCCAATGGCAAACCAAACTCACATATGGACTCAAGGATTCAATGGCATGGTCTTGACACATTCAACAAGTTCAAAAGATCCCAAATTCACAAGATTGACAGATGAATTTTCCAGTCAACTGATCCAAATTTGATTGTATACTAAAAAAGTCAAACTTTGACTTTTTGGTCAAAATCAAGTGCCAAGATTCATTTTTCATCAAGACATGTCAAATTATGAAACTTGTTCATCAAGAAATCAAAAATTACAAATTAGGGTTTGAAATGAAGAAATTTCATAACTTAGAAATTTTCTAAGTTATGAAATTTCATAATTTTTTCCTAACTTTGTCCCATTTTTTCATCAAGATGTATTTGGATTCAAACAAAACCTAAAACATGAAAGTTATAGTCCATTGTAAAATCTACAACTTTGATTCACAAAGTTTTCTCAAAAGAAGCATGTAGCTCAAGTTATGATTTTTGGAATAAGGGTGCAAAACATTCTTAACTTAGAAATTTTTTGACCTATTTTAGGCAGGATTTTTGCCCAACTTCATGGCCACTTTTCACATGCTTCCACTTGGAATTTCAACTTGCATTACAAATATGGATTGTAGTACACATTCCAAGCTTTCCAAATTGTCCAAGAACTTCTCAAACACCCTTGTGGTTAGGGAGAATCGAATTTGTAAAGATGGGCAAAAGTCATTTTGTTCATAGGCCAATTACATGTTCATAACATTGCCATTTTCAAGTCAGCTTGTACAAGCTAGATTACAGGCCTCTAATCCTTCTCACACTCAATAATTCAATGCTAAACCATTGTGCCAAGATGTTATTTTGTGCATTTGGTCATTACATGAAAGATTAACCTTTAAATGGATAAAGCATTTTTGCCATTTTGGAAAAAGTACACTTTATGTCAAATACAAATCCAAGAGGCATGGGCAAAATCTTTAGAGCTAGCATTTTGTACACAAATCACTCTAATCAAGAACAAGAGGTGCATCATAGTTTAGGGCATTGGACAGGCTGGTATAGAAACTTGTATTTTCTTACTTATCTAGGAAGAAACATTGCAAAAGGGGTCCAACATTGAGCTCCTGACAACACAAGCTAAAACAAACATCTTGAACATCTTCCAAACATAAAACCAGAACTAAGGCACGACCAAACCACCTTCAATACCTCCTCATTCACAGAAATACCTTCTTGCTACAAAAACAGAGTCTCTTCTGCAACTTGAATCCCACAGTCCACTCCCTACCATCCATTGAAGCTATTTCAAGCATTGAACTGGAACTGTAACATCCATAACCAAGGTTGCCATTTTCATTTTTCATATGTGCAGGTTGACTTCTATAGCTCGATTCAGTGAGATTCAAAGCAATCCAAGCATAGAGGAAGCATCCTTGGACCTCAAGCAAGTTGTACAAGTCCTCAAACTTCATTGAAAGTACCTCCATTGTTGTACACAATTCAAGCTGAACAGGTAAAAGTTTGAACTTCTATCTCTCTATCCAAGCATATTTAGACTTAAGTTTGTGAAGAAGGTATGACCT